AATTGATTATGAAGAAACGTATTCTCCGGTAGTTGATGCAATTACATATAGTTATTTTATAAGGTTAACAACATATGCAAAACTGGAGATGTGTCTAATGGATGTATTTACCGCCTATTTATATGGTTCACTTGAAAATGATATTTATATGAAAATCCCAGAAGGGTTTAAGGTGCCAGAAGCACAAACTTCTAATTCTCGTGAAGTATATTTGGTAAAATTAAATAAACCTTTGTATAGATTGAAACAATCTGGTCGTATGTGCTTCAATTGTTTTAGTACATTTCTATTGAAAGAGTGCTATAAAAATGATCCATTAAGCCCATGTGTATTTATAAAAAGATCCAGATAAGAATTTATCATAATTGATGTTATTGTAGATGATTTGAACATAATTGGAACTCCTAGAGAATTGGAAAATATCACTTATTGTTTGAAAGAAATTTTTGAAATGAATAACCTTGGTAAGACGAAATTCTATTTGGGTCTTCAAATTAAGTACACAAAAATGGAGTTTTTGTATATTAATATCTAGAAAAGGTGCTAAAAAGGTTTTATATGAATAACTCACATCCATGAGTAACCCGAAGGTGGTAAGGCAATTAGATGCCAAAAAGGACCAACTTCAGCATTATAAAAAAAACATGAAAATCTTCTTGTTCCCGAAGAACTATATCTTAGTGCTATTGGTGCACTAATATATCTTACTATTAATACAAGACCTGATAAATCTTTTGTCGTAAACTTATTAGCAACATATAGTTCTTGTCCAACAAGAAGATACTGGAATAGAGTGAAACACATTCTTTGATATCTTCGAGGTACAATAGATATGAATTTATACTAATCAAATTCATAAAATGCGAAGTTAATTAGTTATGCAGATGTGGGATATTTATCTGATCCACACAAAGCTAGATCCCAAACATGTTATTTATTCACTTGTGGAGGTAATGTAAATTCTTGTCATTTTGTTAAACAAACTTTAGTTGCTGCTTATTCTAACCATTCAAAGATTATAGCAATTTATAAGGCAAGTCATGAATGTATTTGGTTAAGAATTTTAACTCAACATATTTGCAAGAATTGTGGTCTAACTTCTAACAGGGATGTTCCAACCATACTATATGAAGATAATACAACTTGTATAACTCCATTCAAGGAAGGATTTATCAAAGGAGATAGAACCAAGCATATATCACCAAAGTTTTTTTACTCATGATCTTCAAAAAGAGTGTGAAATCAACATCTAGAAAATTCAATCCAGTAAAAACTCTCCTGATTAGTTTACTAAAGCACTTCCTACATCGAAATTTGATGGTACGAAACATTGTTATGCGGTGCTTCAAGAAAATCAAGTGATGTGCTAATCAGGGGGAGTTGGAAACATATTGTACTCTTTTCCTTAGCTATGCTTTTCCCACTAGGTTTTCTTAGCAAGGTTTTTAACGAGGCAATTGTTTCAAATATCTATTATTAATCATGTACTCTTTTTCCTTAATAAAGAGTTTTTCCCATGAGGTTTTACCGATTAAGGTTTTAACGAGGCATGATACAATCGTCATTCAAGGGGGGGTGTTATGAATTATTATTTAGTGAATGACTATTGGATTCTCCATATTTCCCCATTACTCTCCATAATTAGTGAACATTATAGCAAACATTATTATGAGTTTTATGAGTGTAGTTATACACCATTATAATGAATATTCATATCATACATCACCTTTCATCTTCTTTGTCTAGTATAAATAGTGAATATTATGTATTGTAAAGTTAGATGATTTCATCACAAATATTGGAATAAAAATTCTCTCTACTCTCATGTATTTCTTTACTTTATAATTTATCTTGTTATTTGATCATATTTTATAACACGAACTTCTAATTTTTATTTTTTTAAGCAAGTTTATTCCATTTTGGAGAATTTTTCAATTTTTGCCAAGCTTTGAAATGTCTAAAACGTTGATAATTTGTGTTTTCATATTGCTCCATGGTTACATTAACCGGATCGATATCGGCGTCGTGTATGTTGTTTATAACAAAGTTGTAAATTTCATTGAACTCAGAACATTTTGGCATCATATCGCGCCACTTCAAGCATATTTCATCAACATTTCGAATTGCACAACCCATTAAACCATAGAAAACACTTTCAACATTTATCCAAAAAAAAACGGAAGTAGTTTTACCAGCGTCGTCTTCTGAAATTGTCACCAATATGCTTATGCTAATTTCTCTTCTTCCTCTTCTGAACATTTCTTATTTTTGGGAGGCATAGTTTTTGAAGGATCAAACAACAAAAATGTATCTAAAAGGGAAAAGAATTGTATGAAAATAAGAAGATGAGCGATAGTATTTATAGGTGAATGTTGAAGAAATAGAAAAGAAGCCGTTCAGAGGGGAAGAAAGTGGTCAAACGAGATTTAATGCAAGAAATTAAACTAGTAGCCGTTTGGGTTCGTTGTCGGGAGCACGAAGGGCCACGACCACGACCCACCACGAACCATCAGGGTGGTGTGCGCGGTCGTGATTCGTGGCCAAATAGTTTGTGGCCACCTAAACCACGACCCACTTGGTGGTCACCATACCCGTAGACCTTATGATGATGGTGACCACTTTATAGCCTTGGTCAATAATTTCTCTATCGCTGCCATAGAATTCACAATCCTAATCGGAAAAATCCATATCAAAACCTATCCTAGGACCTAATAACACAAGATCCGTGCTCTTCATCCCCACATTAATCACGGGGACACAAAAGACCAAATTATATTTCTGGCACTTTATTCATTCTCTCTCCCTGTACTATAATAAGAGTCACAATTGGCCCCACATCTTTTTTAACTACCATTTATACCCCTGTTTCTTATCCCCAATAATATTATTATTGATCATTATCCCACAGATTGCCGAAATCAAAACACCACAATGACACAAAAAACACCCCACCTCCTAATCATCACCATCACCCTCGTCCTCCTCATCACCATCATCACCGCCCTCCGCCTTCCGGAATTTCAAGAAGCACCGGCGTTTAGAAATGGGGAAGATTGCAACGACGATATAATCCACATAGCAATGACCCTCGACGCAACCTACCTCCGTGGTTCGATCGCCGGAGTCTTTTCTATCATCCAACACTTAACTTGTCCGGAAAACACCGTCTTCCACTTCCTCACCACCCACCGCCTCTCCTCCTCCCTCCACCACACCATCACAACCACATTTCCTTACCTCAACTTCCACCTCCATCACTTCAACACTGAACTAGTTAAAAACAAAATCTCCACCTCCATCCGCCGCGCACTTGATCAACCACTCAATTACGCCCGCGTCTACCTCGCCAACCTCCTCCCTGAAACCGTCCACCGTGTCATCTACTTCGACTCCGACGTTATCGTGGTAGACGATGTTGTTAAGCTCTGGGAAATAAACCTCAACACCCACGTCCTCGGAGCTCCGGAATACTGCCACGCAAACTTCACCCACTACTTCACGATTAATTTCTGGTCAAATCCATATTTCTCCGGTGTATTCAAAAACCGTCTTGAAAATCCGTGCTATTTCAACACCGGCGTAATGGTGATTGATTTGATGAAATGGAGGAGGTTTAAGATAACTGAAAAACTGGAGAGATGGATGGAGATACAAAAAAAGTATCGGATTTATGAATTGGGTTCGCTACCACCGTTTCTGCTTGTATTCGCCGGAGATGTGGAGGCGGTGGAGCACCGTTGGAATCAACATGGGCTCGGCGGAGATAACGTGGAAGGGCTGTGTCGGGATTTACATCCGGGTCCGGTGAGTTTGCTTCACTGGAGTGGAAAAGGGAAGCCGTGGCTAAGGTTGGATTCAAAGCGGGCGTGTCCACTGGATGGATTGTGGGCTCCTTATGATCTCGTTAAACATGGGTCGTTGATTTCAGACATGTGAATTTAATGCTGAAAACTGATGCAATTGAGGAATTCTGTCGCATTTTGTGGGTTCTTATCCCGTGGAAACTGCGTCGGTGGTAGATTGGGATGATAATTGATAACGCCGTGATGGCTTTGTCTTGGGATAGAGGGATGGGGTAACTTATTATTAAATCAAAAAATGTAAAAATTTTGTTAAACAAACTTTTTAATGTATGTTTTACACGTTAACCATACCATCAAAAATGTTTTGGATAATCTTTATGTCTTGCAATAAGGGGCACTTCTCATAACATATTAATTCTTGTATGTATAAAAATGATTTCTTAATCAAAAAATGAATAAATTTGTTATTAACATCAATGCTCAATGGTCCAGAAGCCGACCTAAGGAAGGCTATAACTATAAATGGAGATGAAAGATTGGACAGTGAGAAAGTCATTATCAATGGATAAATTATGTTCACATGCCGTAAAACACAAACGTTATATGATTTTTTTTTTTTTTTTTTTTTTTTTTTTTTTTTTTTTTTTTTTTTTTTTTTTTACATATGTATGATCCATTGATTTACCTTTGGTATCAATGATAAATCGAATATCATCCATATTTTATTTCATAAAACGGTTATCTGATTTCTTTTTTCAACATAAAACTATTTCATTAATTACAATATATTAATTTCTATTTAATGGGCTTGTTAAAATTGTCTGTTTCTATGATATAAACTTTTTTAGGATTCACTACTTGTTATTCATCACAATAATTCATAAAATACGATTTCTATCATAATAATTCATAAGCTACAATTTTTATTTGTAAAAGTAAACTTTTAAAGCCGGATTACCTTTTTGATGAATATTTTTTTAATAAATGTGTAAATTGAGAATTTGTTGAAATTTACATTTTAGATTATCTGAATTCTTATCCATAAACTTGCATTTGCATAATTGCGTGATATTGGGCCGAATGATTGGGCTTGGCCTGATCCGTTGTACGGACTTCGAAGCACCTATTATGAAGGCAGTTTTATAACCATGGCTACCGTCACCTTGCAATTGCATGACAAAACCCCCCTCCGTGTCCATCTTCCTTCGGTTTTCAACTGAAAATCAAACCACCTTCCAAATCTGAATTCTAAGTTGAGAAGAAAAAATGAAACTTTTCGCGAAATGAGTAAAACTTCAGAGACGAAATCAGTAAGTATCGAACTCGAAACAATCGACAATTTTTGTGTAAAACTTGCCAATCATTTCGTCCTTTTACGTTTTAGTGAGGAAGATAGTTTATCCGTATCGGAGTGTGCTTCATTGATTGTTGAGGATGTGTACTTAATCGAATCCACCAACAGATGACGGAGACGAAGCAATTCGTCGTCGTGGTTGAAGGCACTGCCGCTTTGGGTCCTCACTGGCGCACCATTGTCACCGATTATCTCGAGAAAATCATCAGGTACTTCATCCAGTCTACGATTTCAAATTATTCGAAATCTAAGTTCTAAATACACACATTTATCATCGAAATTAAATCACCTTTTGGTTTTGGTGTTAATAATTACAATCGTGACGAAGCTTCTTGGCTACATAATCTACAATTCTATCATCACCGAATCTATTTAACTTAGAATTGGTTATTTAGTTCGTATCTGATTTTGCATTGGTTTATTGGTTCAATATCAGATTGTCGACGATTTTTCCCTAATTTTTTTATTTGTTCATGCAGATCTTTATGTGGTGATGGAGATAAGGTAAGCCTTCATTGCTCATACACAATCTATAATCTCCATTGTGTCAAAGTTTGATTCATTTATCCTTTTCCTCCTCATATGCAGAATCCAGATAGTCCTACTGTTGAAATGGCTCTTGTAAATTTCAATGCTCATGGATCTTACAGTGGTATGTAATTATGTATCTTTCCTTTTTGAATATCATAAACTTTATTTACATTTATATCTATGTATATATATCTCAATCCTCAAGTTTGCTTTATGTAATTGAGCAGCATGCTTGATACAAAGAAGTGGCTGGACAAAAAACATGAACATGTTTCTGGAATGGTTATCAGCTATTAACTTCAGTGGTGGTGGTTTTTGTGATGCTGCAATTGCAGAAGGACTTGCTGAAGTTCTAATGGTATGGTTTGACTTTCGAGTCAACATCTTTATTGCTTCATATGGCTTAAATTCAGTATTTATGATGAACAGATGTTTCCTTCTTTACATGGGATTCAAAATCATCAAAGGCATTGTATCCTTGTTGCTGCAAGTAATCCATATCCACTTCCTACACCAATTTACATACCACCAGATTATATTGAGATGCAATCAGATAGCCCTTTATCTGATGCTGAAACAGTTGCTCAATATTTCAAAAAGGTATTATCACTATCAGTGGCATTTTAGTAATTAATGATTGTACTCTGCTCATATTTCATATTTGTTTGTTCTCTTTTGTTGCAGTGTTTAGTTTCCCTTTCAGTTATATGTCCAAGACAGCTTTCAAAAGTTAGAGCAATCTACAATGCAGTAATTACTAATTAATTCCCTCTTGTCCTTATTAACTTTCTTGTTTTATTTACTAAATTGCCCTTGATTTTTCAGGCAAAAAGGAACCCTTCAGAATCCGATCCTACTATTGATATTATGAGGAATCCACATTATCTAGTTCTTATTTCAGAAAGTTTTATGGAGGCTCGTGATGCTTTAACTCAACCAGAAATTACAAATTTGCCCTCGAATCAAACCCCTACAGAAACAGATGTTACTCCAGTTTCAGGGCCACCTCAAACTACATCAACGAATGATAATCTGCAAAATTCAAATCCTGTTGCTAATGTTACAATTACGGAAAAACCCCTGAATGGAAATCCCACGTCATCTGGGGAAGCTGAGTCAGCAACATTACCAGGGACTTCAAGTACAACAATGCCTACATCTGGAATGGACTTTACTGAGGTAAATGACAGCGTGGCAATTACTGTGGGCCCCACACAACAAACATCAAGTGCACTTCAATCAGATTCATCGAGTTTATATGCAAAACTATGGGAGGTAAAATTTGCATTTTTAATGTAATTGAAATTGGTTAATTAGTTGGAATAAAAATATAACATGTTGTGTGATTCAGGGAGACTTAACTGTTGAAAGCCAAGGGAACTCTGTCTTTATTACCAAATTACAAGTATGTCTCAAAACATGCCACCTGTCCTTTATTTTATAAGATCAAAATTACAGTTGAAGCCTTGTGTGTTTTTTTATTGCAGGGATACAGGAATCCCAAAACTTCTGAGTTGTAAGTAATTTGCTTCAATTAGTTGATGCATAAAATTAAATTAAAAGAATAATGAAAAACATAAATATAAAATATTGTTTTCATCTGTTGATATTATTTACACACTCTCTCAGGATTGCAAAAGATTGGCCATTGACAATGCAAATAGATACGCTTATACCTGAAGAAGAAATGATAAATACGTACATGATCTACCTGTGGTTATGTGATTTTTTTCAATTATAACCCTGACCATACAAAATGACTAAATTGTCCTTATCATATTGTTTCTTTTACTTTTTTAATTTATAGTTTTCTAAAAATTATCTTATATGGGAAGTTTAGTCATTTTATGTCTAATAGGGACGAAACGGGAAATAAAATCAAACCACAGGGACCAAAATGTAATTTTCTCAAAAATAGTTGCAGGAAATTCACTGGAAATGTAGATTATATTGTTTTCCGAGCATTGAATGAGCATTCAACTTTTCTTGGACGATTACAAGAGAAGAAGCTCGTAAGTCATCTCAAATTAAAATCAAAATTTTTGTTTACATTTAATTGTATATGTTTATATAAGTTTTAATTTTTTTTATGCAGTGTATGGTGATAAAGTTACCATCACAGGCACTGTTGTTGTGTGTAACAGCTGATAGAATAAATCGGTTGGTAGGAATGGCTTTACCTCAGGTAATTAAGTAAATATAAATGAATTATTCTATTTATATATATAGTTTGACACAAGTGGAATATTTGTGTTTGTGTGAGATAGGAAATGGTGAAATATGAAAAGTAGGAGGAGGGAAAATGCAATTAGAGTATTGGAAAGGGACACAAAGTATGACTTTTGTAAAGTGAAAGGTTTAAAACAAAATGTTTGTGCAGTGGTAGAGTTGTATGTTGTTCATATTGTGCAGTGTTGATGACTGTTTTGAGATTGATGTTGTTGATATAGCAATCTCATGCATGTTCATATTTTGGTGAAGATATGACTCTTTTTAGTGTCTAGATGGGATGCTTTTTAGATGATAATGTGTAAATTTGTTTGGATTTAGAGTACAACTCTTTAGCATAAAATTCTTCAAGTTTCCTTTTTATTAGATTTCAATGTTTGAATAATGGGAGTTCTAGATTTCATTTTTCAAATTTAAAACTAGAGTATAAGAAGAAACAAATATTCTTAAATATATAAGTTTTTCTAGTGTAAATTACAAATTTGGTCCTGTGGTTTGCCTAAACTCACACATTTGGTTTTAGTATTGGATTTTTTACATGGTTGATTCATGTGGTTTGCATTTGGTGTACTGGTGGTCTTTCGGGGCTGTTAGTTTTTTTAATATGACTAATTTGCCCTTGTATCTACTAGTTGGAACTACTAATAATTAATAATCACTAATCACTACAAATTACAACTACCATCACCACTAATACCACAACCATAACCTTTAGCCACCATCACCACACCTATTGCCACCATCACAACACCACTCTTGCCCATAGTCACATAATTCGCGGTACGCTTTGGTACGGGTACGCGGTACGTAATTCGCTATGTCACTGAAATTCGGTACGAAGGGGGGTAGACTCATTTCGGTACGCTTCGGGACGCTCCGGTACGATGTACCAAATATTGTACCAAATTTCAAAACATATTAGATAAACTTAAAACTTGCAATCAAACAAACATTAAAAGTTCAAAACAGATTACATCAAAAGTAAAAACAAAATACATAAACATAAAACTCAAACATGTAACTTAATCCACTACTCCACCCTTTGTTTTTTTCCATTGCCATTATCTTCGTCTTCCTCGAGATCTTCCCATTCTATGTCTTTTAGCCTTGATCCTTCCAATTCCGTAGATTCGGGATCCATATCCCACTTTTTGTGTGACCCTTCTTTATATTCTTCGGTAAACCTTGAACACAAACGAACATTTGAATGTACAAAAACAAGTTTGTCAGCCGTTTTACAGCTTAGCCGGTTTCTCTTCACACTGTGAATATAGGAATAAGTGCTCCAGTTTCTTTCGGCTGAAGAGCTACTTATAGGCTGTGACAATACTTTTTTTGCCACATCAGCTAACTCCGGTGTTTCCGTGCCATAAGTAGACCACCAGTCAATTGCTTCCATTGTAACCGCATCCATTTGAGCCGCCGACAGTGAATAAAGACCCTTCTTCATGTTAAACGTGGCAAATTGTTCTCGCAACAATCGTTCTTCGTCTCTGTTTTCAGAAATGCGATTAAATGCTTCCATTACACCTTGTATAACTTCTTTATCAAGGTTTGGCGCCTTTCTACGAATTCCACCCGGTGCTAATGTTTCAAGATAGCGGCCATCGTAAAACCGTGGAGTTAAAGCGAATCCTAAACAGTGTAACGGGATGCTCATTTTCTCCCACCTGTTCAATACAATTTGTTGCACTTGAGGGAAATACGATGCATACATACTTTCCTCCATCACATCTTGTATTTCCCCCAACATATTATCCATCTTTTCATAAATTTCGCCCATTTTCGGGCCTTCACCGTCGCAAAATTTGATCAACCGATAAATTGGCTTCGTGATACGTAAAATATTTTCAACTTCGACCCAAAAGTTATCATCTCTTATATCATTAGCAATAAGTTGTCCAGTTGTTCTAGTGTGTTCATCGCTGTGTTTCACACAATCTCTCCACGAATTACGAGCAATTGTTGTAGATAATGCCTCTCTACAAATGAATAACCTCTTCAACAAAACATAGTGAGAAGCAAATCGGGTTTTTGCAACCTTTAAAAGCTCCAACTTTGAAGTCTCCCTAAAAATGGACAAAGCTTGTCCATGATTCAGAAAAAACTTGACAATCGCTTTCCCTTTTTTATATGTGTCATGTAACCAAATAAAATTGTTTGCAAAATCTTTAAAAACCAGGTTTAAGGTATGAACACAACATGGCGACCAGAAAATATGTTTGTACATCTTTTCCACTTCCTTTCCAGCAGCTTTACAATTGGCGGCATTGTCTGTCACAACACTGAGAACATTGCTTGGCCCGACAGAATCAATCGCTTGGCTTAGAAATTGAGCAATTGCTTTACCTGTTTTCTCCACTCCAGAAAAGTCAGTGGCATACATAAACATGGAACCTCGACTGTTTACAGCAAGCACATTGAGCAATGGTTTATGTTTTATGTTTGACCACCCATCAGACACAATAGAAATAGCGTGTGAATACCATGTTTCTTTAAACAGAATCAGGTCTTTCTCAACATCTCTAACACATTCGTTTAGTAAAACAGTTCTTGCTTTCTCACTTGATGGCGCTTTATAACCTTGGGGTGCCTTTCTTAATGCGTTTACATTGTCACGAAATTGAGGATTCCGCAAAACATTAAATGGAATCCCATTAGCACATAAGGCCCTCACAATTTTGAAATCAACTGCACTTCTCTCCATTATTGCAAAAGATTGCTCTATCGGTTTCTTAGAGCTCAAAGTTGGTTTTTTTGTTAAAACAGAACTTCTTAGGGATTTAGAGACTCCGAACATTTCAGCTTCTTTCACTTTTTTTTTTGCAACCTTTCGTAAGTTTCTCGGTCTTTTAGTACAACGGGACACCTTTTAATTTCAGCTTTTTCCGAGTTGAACACCAAAAAATGAGTATAAATACGGGTATACGAGCTAGTAAATGTTCCATGACAATGTTTACAAACCCATTTTTTTGAACCACCAGGATTTTTACTACTACCAGGACTAATAAAAGTAACTTCATCATATAAAGGCTTAGCATCTACACTTTGTGTTTTTGGCTGTGTACCTTGACTCATCCCACTGCTTGTACGCGCTTCTGATTGTTGATTCCCGTTGTCTTCTTCTTCATTGCCAAGATCAACATAATGATCTTCTTCCTCCAGATATTGTTGTGACTGCGATTGCTGTCCTCCATCATCTTCCTCATAGCTATTAGTTCCTCTTTTCTTTCCAAAAACCATGATACAATATTCTCTACTGTTACTATAATAGTATAACTATAATCGATAATCGCTATTCAAGAATATCAATAACCAAAGTACCAAACTATAAAATCTGAAATTAGATATTCTGGAATACAATTGAATAAAAAATATGATGGAATAGAAGTCTAATATAGGCCTAATTACAGAATGTGAATTCAATTTTGAAGAGTCGCTACTTAATTGTTCAGTTACAAAAAATCGTTCGTGAAGTCGATCGACTATTGAAATTCCAACCGATGTATCCAATTGACTGCAGACGCGTATTGTAATCAGGCAAATTGCGATCTCTATATCCTCTGATACGTTTGAATTGAAGATTTGGATCGCCAATTTCTGGTATTGAGTCGCGACCCGAAGCGTTCCCGGTACACGTTCGTACCGCGTTTTGGTACGAACGAACTGGATCGCAGATCGTGTTCACCAAGCGATTTCTTTGACTATGCTCTTGCCACCACCCTCACAACACCGCTCCTGTCACATCGTTACTCTTGCTACAAACATCTCAACCACGTCAACCCTACTACTGCCAACACCATCACAACCACCATAACAAAACTCATGCTACCTCACCGCTCTTACCACCACCCTTACAACTACCACTACGAATTTGAAATCCTCTAACTCTAATTATGCCATCACTTGCTACATTCACACAACAACTAATCTACATAATACCAAACCATAATACATTTTCTTAACTTGCATCATTATTTGATTAGAAATAAAAATCATTCTAACATGTTAGCTAACCATAATACCACCTGCCACAACAATATGTTTCAAGTTTCACATCATTAATTACCAAAAAAGCACACAAGCAACCCACGGAAACATTAAAAAAAAAAGAACATGACACAACCAATGAAATGAAGCTTAATTGATTTTATGTAATTATGTTTAAAAGCATTATCAAACGAAGCACACAAAATCTCCACTTATAGCGTGCCTCCTAGACACGTCAAAATAATCAAGCACTCTCACAATCTGGCTGTCCCGTTACATTTCCAGCCTGCGCCAGATGACCCCCGTTGTCCGGTATCCAGCCCAGAACATGTACACGGGAAAGTCATCAGACGACAAACGGGCACCTGCTAACTCCAATGAAGGTGCAAGGACCACTATCGTGGCTAAGCCAATCAAGGATTATATAGGGGACAAAGGTATGATCCACCAATCAATGCCACTATCCTAACCTGGGTCTAACACTCCTGTCCCCACTAGTTGCATCTGTGTCAATGCCCTTACGATAAAAAGCTACACGCCTCCAACGGTAAAGGGGTTAAATCCTTACTCTCTAAGCCTTATGCTTTACCATACACATATCTCCACTAACTTGGCCGTCAGTGCGTTCTCCCACGACCCCTCTCAGAGAACTAATGACGGCCTATTTCTCTTGTTGTGATATAGATCTCCATCGATACCCAAGTCAACAAACGTTGAAGTAAATCTCGGAGGTCCAATATCATATCATTGGTATCATCCATTGTTGAGACAAACGACACAAAAAACTTAATACACACATTCTGGTCATGGAAAACGACGGAGAAACTAGTCCCAGTGGCCCAATACGAAGTCACATACGACCAATGATGCCACTCGAACCGGTCACCCCAGAAACAACCCAAACCGTTGTATGGCGCACATTCTCCAACATTAGGCACACCGATAAACCAGTTCTAGATCCCATCTCTAACTCCGACGAGTGGACAACAATCAAACCAGACAAATCTAACTCCCAACATGACTCAAATGTTGAATCCATACTTCCCAAGCAACACACCATCGTTCTTTTCACCACAGACGCGACAATAACTCCACATGAAAAATGTCACCTGCAACGAGCTTCCAACCTATCTACTCAACTGCGATTGCACGAACACCGCTAGCAATACCAATCAGCAACATCCCGACTTTCAACATAAAATTTTCATTTTTATTTATGAGAACATATCAGAGTATAATTACAATATGCGAAAAACAT